TAGGCCTTGACGGATTATGCTAATATTTTCGTGAAATTATGCTTTTCGCATTGCTGAAAAAATTGCAGAATTATGCTATTTTTATGCTAAAAGTTATCATATTATGCCGCATTATGCTCACATATGCTACTAATGCATAATGGTTCTGTGCAAAATAACAGGGGAATTTATTTGTAGAGGGCGTTGTACTGTAGTAGCAAAAGTTCAACGGGGTCAACGCACCGTCCGACCTAGCTACGACCATCACTGATTGTAGTGGACTGGACATGGTATCAAGGGAGTCGTAAACCTACAACTTCCTAGTGCATCTACTTGTACTTGTACTTGTAGAACATGTACAACTGTATGGAATTTGATGCGAACAGGCGGATTATTACAATTTTATGCGATTCGTATGCAATTTGCCTCGAATTATGCGATTATTCGACTTTGGTAGGAATTATGCGAAAAATTATGCTAGCATAATCCGTCAAGGCCTATCAAGAAGTCAGGTAGGATTCAGTACTAGGCAGTAGTGGAACGTGAGTGGTAGTCTTTGCCGATTTTGGAGGGTATCCTGGATTCGGTTTGAAGCGCTGTGGAAATGGCTTGCTGTGGAGGTCTCAGCACTGGATGTTGTATCAAAGGTACGACCTCGTAACACGCCCTAAGCCAAAATAATATTCAAAAATTGACTTGGGTCTGTGGGAGTGTGTGAGAGAACGCCCACTCCTGCCGTTGTGACAGATTCCAGGGCCACGTTGAAGGGCCCTATCCCACCACCCATGGCTGCTTCTGGACATTTTTTAGGTTTGGATCCCGCGCACGGACAGAAATGGGCAAGAACATGTGAAAAATTGTAAATGCATTTTTTTGGCTCCTGGGTGGCTCGCACACCGTGGCAGTATGCCGGAATTTGAGTTTTTCCGGCCTGGAAAGCCTGTCAGTGAGGCGCAAGAACTTGTAAATCATGTCCTGAGGGTCAGCATAGTGGCAGGAGTGTGTGGTCAAAATTTCACTCAAATCCATTGAGAGACACCAAAGTTACGGTCAATTGAATGCCATATGAAATTTACGACCAGGCTGCTACCTTAACGGGTGCCTAGTGCAGCATCGTCACTGTATGAGTAGGTGTGCAGCGGTTGTGCAATTCATAAAACCGGGATTCATGAGGTTATCGTTTTGGAATTTGAAATATGGACTGTTTGTCGTGATAAATCCAATATGGACTTCGTACTTGGTCAGTATAGGAAATAAAAGCCGAGTAAAAGACCTCGGCTTCCCCGTTTATTTCCTACATGATGTACATGTATATTGACCTCGTACTCGGCCAATATTGGATACATCACATTGTTCATAATAATGTTCACTTTATGGTGCCATAATTATATTATCTATCCTTTGTAGTCCAACACACAGTGTGCATGTGTCACCATGTGATGATGATTTCTGATGATAATCACGTGAAAACGACGTTCAAATCACAAAATATTCATTTTTTAATTTATTAATTTATTATTATTTAATTTAAAAAATTTGTTCCCCATTGTTCTCGTGGTATGAGTGCGCTCACTTTACTTTCATCCATATTAGGTTTCTTGTTTCGACCTCGACTTTTTGGCTTACTGAAGTACACAAAAGGGGAAGGGATTAGCAACTTGCAAAGCAATAGGATGGATGCCCAGCGAGCTATGCAACGGAAGTGGTGACTGTTACTTATGCTGACTGCCATTTATCACTATACATTGCCTGGTGATTGCGAGAGCATGAAACTTCAAGTCGCAGCAAACAAACCTTGATTGTCCTTGTTGTTTTGTTCTGTACTTTATAACTATTTCGTACTGGTGTGGGTTGAAATTTGTTACTTAGTGCACTGATACTTCCTGAGTAGCGTTGTACGAAAGCTAGTTTGATGCATTTTTATCATTTTAATCGTTCCTATAATTGTTCTTCACATTTCATTTCTAGTGAAAAAAAGGACCAAGGAACTACATCTTAAACTCTATGTTTTCATGTACCGCCGCTTGACCCCACATCTTGCTAGTCCCCATCTCCAATCCTTGTTCCAGCGTAGGGCTGCTGAGCCTGGACACCAGGCTCGCACGCGCGGCCAGGCACAGCGCGCATTAGTTCTTCCGCCTGTTTCTACGCAATATGGCATGCGTTCTATTTCTTTCCTGGCGGCAGACAGATGGAATGCTCTTCCCACTGACTGCCGTCAGGCCCCGTCTCTTACTCTGTATGTAAACATGGTAAAAATTCACCTAGGGTTCCCAGTAAAAAGGCAACGCCTGTTGGGATTCCCCTAGTAAAATAATAAAATCTACTACTACTACTACATGTACAAGCAGCCACGCTATAATTTCCACTAAGGGGTCGTCCACAAATATCGATATTTTTTTAGAGAAGATATTCGTTCGTTTGGGGAGGGGGTTTGGGCCCTGTTCGTCTCGTCTTTGAGAACAAAATATCGAACTCTATCTATGAACGGGCACTGTTCGAACATGTAGTTTATGACCTACACAAAGCGAAAGTCAACCTCGTGAACATAGTCGCCATGGCAAGGTTGTGCGACCGTGGCAACGTGAACCTAGGTCACAGCAGGTGTATGGTGAAATTGCAGTTGCAGCTGGTCACGTTTCATGAGGAAATTGCACTTCATTAAAAAATATCGATCCTCTGCAGAAACACGTGTAGTATGTTCGTTTTGCGGGGGGGGGAGGGAGGATGTCTGGGGAGAAATGGACAAATTAACATCGTCTTGAAAAAATATCGATATTTACGGACGGCCCCTAACACCACCAGTTACTTGACAATCAGCTCATGCGATAACATTGCACGACACTGACCGACAGCACTGACGTACTACAGCTAACTGGCTATCAGCTCTAGCACATCTTGGGTGCGCACTCCAACAGCCTTCCGACTAACTTGGAAGCCGGTTCTAAGTTAAGTGAGAACATACTGCTAGGAGGGGAAGGTGAGTGCAACCAAGACAATCACAAGCTGAAAGTCTCAGCTGTGAAGGACGTTGGCGGATGATACAGGCCAGACCATTAGACTATATGGCCAAAACACGATTCAAGGACGCATAGCGACTTACCACACAACTTGCGTGGCTCTAAAAATGCAAAGATAAAAAGTTATGAAGGGGAACCTAATCGAACACGGACCATGAGAACCGAAGGCCTCAGTTAAACAGTGCTGTACTTTCGACTATGACAGTATAAGTTAAATGAACAATATGCAGCAATAACAAGCGGCAGTTTCACACGACGATCATTTCGCCGTATAGAGAAGGACGGCTCGTCAATGTTATCGCATGAGCTGATTGTCAAGTAGCTGGTGGTGTCAGTGGACATTATAGCGTCACTTGTAGTTCCCTGGTTGGTCCTTTTCTTTACTATAAATTAATCATTGGCTCTCCTTACGAGTCTAACATGACATTTCCATCATAGTTTTTTCTTTGTCCGTCGCTACTGTCTCTAGAATTTGTTCGTGATATCTCAAAATAGCCTTTGTGAAAAACATGATGACTCTTCAGCTGGTTGTGTTTGTTGCAATCCTTAATCTATTTTAACGAAGCATCATTAACCCAGTCGGTGGAATGCAATGTGCCCTGAACGGCCAGTCGTTAGCGGGTTGATAACAAAATTGTGCAATCTTTCTTAGAATCTATTCCCCTGTGATGTACATAGCAGACTCAGCTCTGTCTCTGACATTGAGCACTCTCTGCAGCTCGGGGATCAACGGATTTGCCCCTGTGTTGTACTGTTACTGTTCAAGTATCTACATTGTACATGTACATGTACAATGTACATGTACATGTGGATGCCTCTTCTCTTTTTTTCTTCTTTTTTTCTACTCACTCGACACGCCTGATCACATGCACACCGCATGGGCCTGGGGATGTCTCTTCTCTACCTCTGCCAGTAAACTGTACGAGTAAGTGCCAGCTCAAGGGTTGTGTGTATGTGTGTGTGTATGTGTATGTGTGTGTGTGTGCGCACGTGTGCGTGTGTGCGTGTGTGCATGTGTGTGTATGTGTGTGTATGTGTGTGTGTGTGTGTATGTGTGTGTATGTGTGTGCGCGCGTGTGTGTGTGTGTGTGCGAAGGTGTGCTTGCGTGTGTGTGTGTTACTATGTACGTGGGAATGTATCAGTAAGATGGGGGGGGGGGCATGTGTGCGTGTGTGTCGTGCGTGGGTGTGTGCTTCTGCTTGCATGTG